GAATTGGTGCTGGATCATAATAGTAAGTGTGAAGCAGGAAATTGTTATGCATAAATGTGAAATGGCGCGTAAATTTATTTCATTGTTTTGTTTTTGTTTATTCCACTTTAGACAAGCCGCACAACCCTATGATCAATGCGGGCGCCATACTGACCTGCTCATTGCTGCAGGCTTTAATTAAGCCAGATATGACAGCAGCTGAAAAGTTCGACTACACACTGCAGTGGTTCAAACGCTTGTCAGGTGGTGAAAATATTGGTTTCAATAATGCAGTGTTCCTGTCGGAACGCGAAGCTGCCGATCGCAACTATGCTTTGGGCTTTTATATGCGCGAGAATAAATGCTATCCAAAGCGTACGAATCTCAAGGAAGTGATGGACTTTTATTTCCAGGTAAGGCTGGAGAAGAATATGTGCCTACATATATTTTACTGATAGTCAGGAATAAATATTCGTAAAATTAATTTAGTAAACTGAGTGATCTACCTTTAAAACTTTTAGTCAACAGTTCTACTGAGCTTGGGGCTGTTATTTATGTTTGTGGAAAACAATAATAATTTACAAAGGTAGAAGTTGTAAGGAAATAACCACATCTCCTCATCAGGCTTCTTCATTAAGCTCATCGGTTTCCTTTCATCTGAAAAAGGCATGAAATGTTTAGTATCTCCATATCAATATTTCAGAATGCAAAAGTAGCGAACAAGTTCGAATAGAAATATTCATGTTTACAAGGGAAGACGATATTATAGAATAGAGTATATTTTGCTTTGCTGCTTTTATGCTTAAGTGCACATTTCAGATACGTACCCCAAAATGTGCATCAGCGGCATTATTTTTAACATTTAAAAGGAAACTGCTCCGATAGATGCATTCAGCTTACCTTAATTTTTTTTTAATAACATTTTATAAAAAGTAGTTTGGTGCCCTATTTTAGAAAGTCTCGAAAATGACATTTCTAAATAATTGTTCGGCAAAAAACTTGACTAGGGGTATTTTCAAACAAAATCTTTTTACAAAGAACCACTAGTCCACAGAAAATTAAAAACTAATATCGCTAGCTTAGAAAGAAAAGTTGCTAAGTCCCATTTTAAAAATTTTACAGGAGAGGAAAAAATCTTCCTATAGCCATTTTCTTTAACTATTTCGCAAGACTTTGAATCAAACATATTGCGCGTTTAAAGCAAAGCAAAACTCCATAAGAATCACAAGGTTTCGATATTTATTAAAAGATGTCGTATTATTTTGGCCTTATCGGATTTGCGGTGCTTCTTTTGGACTTAGCAAGTTTTCCTTTTATTGCTTATGAAGAGGAAAAAATAAAACAAGTACCTTTATAATTTTCGAAACGATGCGTATTCAATTTCTCTAGCCTCCTATATCAAAATATGAGTTTTCATAAAAAGTGGACTTAGCAACTTTTCACTCTAAGCTAGCGATATGTCCCTTTGAAATATGAAACAACGTTTTTATTTTTGTTGTTAAAAAAAAAAACATTAAAAATATCGATATGTAATGAGATTCTACTATAGTCCGCAATTTCTTTCGGTAAAAATCTCCAAATGACTAACATATGGGCCTAAAAATATGCAACGTTTCTAAGTAGGCGTTGTATATTTTTAGGAGCCAACCTTATTCATTTAGTGCTTTTAAGCTATTGAAATTTATTACAGTTCTTAAAAAACTGAAATTTCCGAGTTGGTTTTGAGGATTTTTTTCAATAATATTTACAACAATCCCTCAATAAAATCTCTCTTCTACAGTGCTGCTCGATGGAGACGACCTGCGAGTCAATGTCCGTGATCGCCGCTACCCTCGCGAACGGTGGCATTTGTCCTACCACCGAGGAGAAGGTACTACGTCCCGAAGTCGTACGAGATGTGCTTTCCATAATGCATTCGTGCGGCACTTATGACTACTCCGGCCAATTCGCCTTCAAAGTGGGTCTACCCGCTAAGTCTGGTGTCTCCGGCGGCATGATGTTAGTCATACCGAATGTCATGGGCATTTTTACATGGTCACCGCCACTTGACAAGCTTGGAAATAGTGTGCGTGGTGTGCAATTTTGTGAAGAGTTAGTTAGCGTCTTCAATTTCCATCGCTACGA